GGGTTTAGGGTTTAGGGGTCATGGTCCCTTGGTAGTATGTTCTTGTGGTCCCTGTATATATATACTGCATCCTAGAATAGCCGCCAAAACCCTATTCTAATTATTTTTGGGCTCTTATAGGAGGTCTACGGAGGAAGGCAAGGGGTCCCGAATTCAGACCCTAAACCCTAAACCCTAAACCCTAAACCCTAAACCCCTGGAGCTTTAAGGTTTTGGGGGTTTTGGGGGTTTCGGCCTAGACCCGAAACGTCGGCATCTCCCTGGAATTCCGCAGCTCCCGCCTCTCTCGCGTGCAAGCAGAGAGAGAGAGAGAGAGAGAGAGAGAGAGAGAGAGAGAGAGGGAGAGGGAGAGGGAGAGGGAGAGGGAGAGGGAGAGGGAGAGAGAGGGAGAGAGAGCAAGAAAGAGAGAAAGGGAAAGACAAAGACAGATAAAGAGAACGAACAAGAGAAAAATAACGAGAAAGATAAAGAGAAACATTAACAGAGAGAGAGAGAGACAGAACGAGAGAAAGGGAGAAAGTGATAAAATGATAGAAAACGAGAGAGATAAAGAGACGGAAAGAGAGACGGAGAGAGAAAGAGAGTGAGATAAAAAGAGAGAACGAGACAGAAAGAGAGAGAAAGAGAGAGAAAGAGAGAGAAAGAGAGAGAAGGAGCGAGAGAAGCTCGATCGACGTATTCTGGGACTTGATTAAACCTTAAACTCTCGACCCTCTTGGCGCTGCGTGAAAAGCGATTACACCAATTAAGACAGATACCCTAAACCCCAAACCCTAAACCCTAAACCCCAAGTCCTCCATAGGTTGGGTGCAAGAACTTAAACTAAGTTACCCGAAAGCAGTCATCTAGTCGGTAATCTAGCATCCTTATCCTGAAAGCTTAGGGTTTAGGGTTTAGGGTTTGGGGTTTAGGGTTTAGGGGAATTGTTTATCAAGCCCCCTTGTCTGCATAGATAACGCCTCACGTCTCAGGTCGCTCGCAAAGCCCGCGTACGTCAGCTCAAGCTCGGACAGCCGAAGAAACACGAACTCAGCAGCACGAGGGCACTAGGCGACTCAACCCCAAACTACTAGGCCCCTAAACCCTAAACCCCAAACCCTCAACCCTAAGTATACTACTAAGTTCAGCTCTGCAAGTGCCCCTACAACTCATCCCAGTTGTGGAATATGCTCCTGGCTTTGCCCATGTCTACAAGTGCGGCCGGCAAATGTCGTCACGTCTGCAAGGGTGCCCGAAGCCTGATGTGTGTGTTTTTTATTTGGCATCTGAAGGGCATTTCGTTGTGGTTGAGGGTTTGGGGTTTGGGGTTTGTAGTTGGGGTTTGGGATTTGCGGTTTGGGGTTTAGGGTTTAGGGTTGTGTGTGTGTGTGTGTTTGCCTGAGTGCTGTTTTGTGGTCTTTCTGGGGCAGCACACCTTTTCAGACCCTTCATGGCCCATGCTTGCTTACAGAGGATTATAGTGGGGTTTCCGAAACTGGGGGTACCTCATTGGGATCCTTATTCTAAGAGGATCTTATTATTTGGGGGACTATATTGGGGTCCACTATGTTTGTAAACTCCATAGTGGTGCAGCAAATGATCATCATAGCCGTGGGGAGCATCTAGACATGTTCTTCTCTAGACGTGCGCAGGCAGCCAAGCATGTGGGGCGTCGTATGCTGGTAGCCCTGCTGAAAGAATTCTATTTTTTTCAACTGCGGATCTGATTCAGATAACAGAAGAAGCCTTCAACCCTAAACTACCCGAAACCCTAAACCCGAAACCCTTAGACCCTAAACCAAAAAAAGACAAAACGAAAAAGCAGGCGCATGGAGGTGTGCGAAAATCCGTGTGGGGCCTTGGACCACTACATGGAGGGCCCCGGTGGATGGCCTTCCGTTGATGGGTTTGAACAATTTCTAGGGTTTAGGGTTTAGGTTTTAGGTTTTAGGGTTTAGGGTTTAGGGGGTTTCCGAAAAAAGGGGTCCCTTTTTTGGGGGTCCCTTTGACAGGCTTCTATTTGTGGTATAAATGGGGCACCCCTATTTCGGAAAATGCCAATTTAGGGTTTAGGGTCCAGAGTTCATAAGGGCTTACGAGTAAGGTGACCTATATTGTTCCAGAGCTAACATACCGAACAGCCCTACATGTGTCCCAGGGAGCCACATGCCACTTAGACAAGGAAGATAGCTTGACCCAGAATATTTGTGATTCGGGTTTGGGGTTCTGTAACTTAAGTCAGAATAGGGTTATACAGGTTTTAGGGCTATGTATCTTAACTCAGAAGAGTTTAATCTAGGGTTGAGGGTTATGTTACTCATCTCAGCATGGGGACTTACTGTAACCTGAAGCCCCAAAACCGAATGGTATTGACTCCCATGGACCCGTGGCTTTAAGGTTTCCAGGGCTTGTAGGGCTTGCAGTGGGTTATGGGCTTGTGGGAGTTGGAGGGCTAGGCTCTTGTAAGGCAGGGGACTTGGGGGTAGGAGTTCAGGGCTTAGGGTTTGGGGTTGGCTTTGTGTTCCTTTAAACCTTGCAGTACACCCTAAACCCTAAACCCTAAACCCTAAACCCTAAACCGTAAACCCTAACCCCTAAACCCTAAACCCTGAACCCTGAACCCTGAACCCTGAACCCTGAACCCTGAACCCTGAACCCTGAACCCTGAACCCTGAACCCTGAACCCTGAACCCTGAACCCTTCCTGGGCGGAGGGAAGACCCCACATGGAAGGCCACCAGGGGATGAGTTTTTGCGGGCTGAGCCAGAGAGTCATGGGTTTCCCTACTACCTCTACAGCCAGGGTTTCGGGTTTAGGGTTTAGGGTTTAGGGCTACTACCCCCGACTAGTTTCCCCGCTCAAGCAACCTTAATCCGGCTTTATCAGCCCCAAATAACCTTAATTATGGGAGGGAACCTAGGGGTGGAGTATAGAGGGGGGGGTAGTAGGGGAGCGCATCAGACAGAAGCAGAAGAGTTGCAGTAGCCAACCACTTGGAGGATCATAGGTGCTTAGTAGCCAATGACAACTGTACTTATAGCCCACTCGTAAGCCCTTAATAAGTGCCCTAATAGGGTTAGAATAGGGTTAGAAGTACAGTCATAAGTACAGTACCTGCGACGATGGAGGCCCTGAAACCCATAAGTGACTCTCGGTTTAGGGTTTAGGGTTTAGGGTTTAGGATTCAGGGTTTAGGGTTTCGGGTTTAGGATTCAGGGTTTGGGGTTTAGGGGCCCATACACCTAAAGGACCTAAACCCTTAAGAACCCTAAGTCCAGGCCACGAAGCCCTAAACCACTGCACCCTACGGCAGAACCATCTAAACCCTGAACCCTAAACCCTGAACCCTAAACCCTAAACCCTAAACCCCGAACCTCCAAGAACTGCAAGCAAGTTCCAGCCGCGCTCCTCTTGAGGCCGAAACCTACATGGAGACGCCTGAGGGTGAGCGGTCCCCAGAGTAGGGTTTAGGGTTTAGGGTTTAGGGTGTAGGGTTTAGGGTTTAGGGTTTCGGGTTTAGGGTTTCGGGTTTAGGGTTTAGGGTTTCGGGTTTCGGGTTTGGGGTTTGTGGTTTCGTGTTTGGGGTTATTGGGGTTATTGGGGTTATTGGGGTTATTGGGGTTATTGGGGTTATTGGGGTTATTGGGGTTATTGGGGTTATTGGGGTTATTGGGGTTATTGGGGTTATTGGGGTTATTAGGGTTATTGGGGTTCAGGGTTTAGGACGTAGGGCTCAAACAAGCCGCCGCTACAGCCCTCAACCCAAAACCTGCAAATCTCTACACCACAGAGCCCTAAGCCGTTAAACACCCCTCGGCCCTAAAAACCCTGAGCTTCTAGACCCTAAACCCCTAAACCCCTAAACCCCTAAGCTCCTAAACCCCTAAACCGCCTACACCCCTAAACCCCTAAACCCCTACACCCCTAAACCCCTAAACCCCTAAACCCCTAAACCCCTAAAACCCCTAAACCCCCTAAACCCCTAAACCCCTAAACCCCTAAACCCCTAAACCCCTAAACCCCTAAACCCCTAAACCCCTAAACCCTAGCCCTAAACCCTAAACCCTAAACCCTAAGCCCTAAACCCTAGCCCTAAACCCTAAACCCCTAAACCCTGAACCCTCTTCCGGTTTGGGGGCGCATGGAACCAAGAGGTGCAATTGCCAGCAAGTCCTAACTCGAGCAGGGTCTTGAGCCTCGAAGACTGGGGGTTTGGGAAGTAGGGTTTAGGGTTTAGGGTTTAGGGTTTAGGGTTCAGGGTTTAGGGTTTAGGGTTTAGGGTGGGCTTCGAGGTTCATTGCTGGGTATAAGCTGCTGCAAAACGGGGGTGTTGTAACATTAGCCCAATTTGTGAACTTACACGCCTGCCTTAGCATTCCCCCTGACTTAACCTTCAAGTGGTAGTAGTTCTCTATAATCGGTTCCTCTGGGGGAGGGGGTCCTTAACATAGGGTGCCTTATGCCACAGGGGACGCAAAGGGTCCCCCCCCTAACTTCGAGAACTACCCAAGTAGGATGGGACAGTTGAGTCTCCTTTTTTCTTTCTTTGTGAGTTCGGAGGTTCAGGGAGATTGGAGTGGGGAGGTTGGTGCTGAGAGTTTAGGGTTTAGGGTTTAGGGTTTATGGTTTAGGGTTTAGGGTTTGAGCATGTTAGGATTCCGGGTTTCGTTTCACCTGCCCAACGCTCCGATGGTAGGTCACAACGCCAGTGGCAGAACCCACCGCAAGTCCTTGCCAATCAAGGGTAAAGAGACATTAGCACCATGATCTTCTCTACACAAGGTTCATGCATCAGTGGGGCTCTACATATTTGTGCACGATTTCTACGGTTAGTTAGCAGGGAATGAGGGAATGAGGTACCCTATATCCCCGGCCCCCTACATACACCCTTTAAGGGATGATATAGGGTACCTCATTCCCTTATTCCCTATTAACCAACGGTAAGGATCTATAGTGTTTAAGGGGATTGTAGCTACAGGGTTTAGGGTTCTGGGTTTAGGGTTTAGGGTTACAGCTTCGCCATGTCAGTGCGACTGGAAGTAGCACTCCTGAGCGGCAGGAGGGCAAGTGTCGAGTTGGAGCCCACCTCCACCCTTGATGAGGTCGCGCAGCCCTAAACCCTAAACCCTAAACCCTAAACCCTAAACCCTAAACCCTAAACCCCTTGACAAGGTGGCCCAGCGGGCGCAGGCCTTGCTGTCTGTGGGCCGATGCCGCCTGGCGAAGTCTTCTGGAGAGATCCTACCGGGAGCTGCGTCTGTTGAGCAAGTGGGCCTGCAGACTGGAGATTCCCTAACCGTGCACGTGAGGGAGGTGGAGGTTTAGGGTTTAGGGTTCAGGGTTCAGGGTTCAGGGTTTAGGGTTTAGGGTTTAGGGTTTAGGGTTCGGGGTTCAGGGTTCAGGGTTTAGGGTTTAGGGTTTAGGGTTTAGGGTTGAGCCAGGTGCAGGTGGCCGCTGCCCGTTGGAAGTGCGATGCCTCAGCATTCGCGGCAATCCGGGGCGACGCTTCGGTGTTAGCCTGGGGAGACCCAGACATTGGAGGTGACATCGCCGAGGTCCAAGACACCTAGTAGTAGAGTAGGTATAACCTTTAAACCTTTTTGGGGTTTAGGGTTTAGGGTTTAGGGTTTAGGGGTTTTGGGGTTTTGGGGTTTAGGGTTTTTTTAGTTCCCCCCAGGTTACTGGACAACTAAGGACAGGCTCGTAAACGTGCATCAAATTCAGGCGTCGCTGTTTGCATTTGCGGCCCAGCTAGGACCTTGGGATCGTTTACATTTTTCACATCGTAGGTTTTAGGGGAGGTTTAGGGTTTAGGGTTTAGGGTTTATAGATTTTTTGCGCCGGCCAATCTAGGCTGCAATCCTCGGTGATGGAGGTGTCGTGACATGGGGAGGCCAGGACTGTGGTGGAAACAGCGAGGCCGTTCCCGGGTAGGCCCTTGGGACGTTTTATACTTTCCCTTATAGGATTGAGGGTTTAGGGGTTTTGGGTTTTGGGGTTTTGGGGTTTAGGGTTTAGGGTTAGGGGTTTAGGGTTTAGGGGTTTTGGGGTTGAGGGTTAGGGGTTTAGGGGTTTAGGGGTTTAGGGTTTAGGGTCTTGCGGGCCAGCCTAGGTTCAGGACCAGCTGAAGGATGTCCGCGAAATCCAGGCTGGCACAGACCCTCGGCATGCTCCCGGTAGTGCCCATGTAATGTCGTTTTATGTTTTACTTGTTGGGTGAAGGGTTTAGGGTTTAGGGTTTAGGATTTAGGGCTAGGGTTTGGGGCTTAGGGCTAATTTCGGGGTCGGAATAATTACTAGTAGTTTTCCCTTACGGTCCCTGTATAACTATACTACAATATCCGCCCCAAAACCCTATTCTGATTCTCATTATTGAGGCCCCTATTGTTATTGTATTCGGGTAGGTCCTTAAAATTGGGTCCCTTTTGAGGGGGTCCTTGTTTAAAAGGGTATGATATAGGCGTACCTACTATGCATTTTCTTTTCTGCTGAACTTCCGTTACCAAAATCAACCCTTGAAACAAAAAGGTTTAGTTTTTGTTGCCGGGGCCCTTGGGACCTAAACCCTAAACCCTAAACCCCAAACCCCAAACCCTAAACCCCAAACCCCAAACCCTAAACCCTAAACCCTAAACCTAGGAGGTGTTTGCCGCGATCCGCGCCGATGGGAGTGTTGTGACCTGGGGAAATCCGGATTTCGGAAGTGACAGCAGCGCGGTGCAGGAGCAGCTCCAGAAAGTTGAGAAAATCCAAGCCACCAAGTATGCCTTCGCGGCCATCGTAGAAGATGGATCGGTTGTTACGTGGGGGCATCCGGAATATGGTGGAGACAGCGCCTGGGGGCCCGGAGTCGGCTCTTGTTTCGTTTTTTCTAGGGTTGGGGTTCCCGTAGAAGTCCCTTGAAAACAGAAAAACCTGGGTTCCCAGAGATTCCAAAACCCTTTAAATAATGGGAATATTCCTTAAACTATAATAGGAACCTAAACCCTAAACCCTAAACCCTCCTTAATATAATTTAAGGTACAGTGTAGATTCCTTAATTAGGGGGGTTTTGGGGAATTTCTCCTGGATCAAGGCGCTTCGGTCCAAGACCAGCTCAAACATGTGAGGTGTATCCAGGCCTCTGATGAGGCCTTTGCTGCAATTCTGGCGGACGGGTCAGCAGCTGGGTAGGCCTGTTTAGGGTTTAGGGTTTAGGGTTTAGGGTTTAGGGTTTAGGGGCCCTTCGGATATTTTTTCATTTTCCTATTATTGGGTTTAAGTGGACATTAATTCAGGAATGTGCCCTTAAGAGGGTTTGAAGGGCCATCCTAGGCAGTAGCCTGGGGGAACCCAGAATTCGGCGGCGACAGCAGCGCGGTCCGTGACAAGCTGCGGAACCTTGGGGACCAAATGAGCCCCAAAATTGTGGTTGTATACCCTATACTGGTATTCTTCCTATTATATAAGGTATATGAACCCTGAACCTTGAACCCTGAACCCTAAACCCTAAACCCTAAACTTTAAACCCCTAAACCCTAAACCCTTTGGGGCTCATTTGGCCCCCAAGGAATGTGAGTCACATCCAGGCTTCGAGGCAGTCGTTCGCTGCCATCCTGGCTGATGGGTCGGTTGTTTCTTGGCCCCAAGATGAACCAGGTGGGGGTTTAGGGTTTAGGGTTTAGGGTTTAGGGTTTAGGGTTTAGGGTTTAGGGTTTAGGGTTTAGGGTTTAGGGTTTAGAAGATCCCCAAGATGAGCCAGGTGGGGACAGCAGCAGCGTGCAAGAGCAGCTGCGAGACGTTCAGGCAATCCAAGCCTCGGATGAGGCCTTTGCAGCAGTGCTCGCAGATGGCGGAGTTGTGACTTGGGGGAGTCCGGAAGCCGGTGGGGACAGCAGCTTAGTAGTAGAGTCGGTAACCTTTAGAACCTGTTTGAGTTTAGGTTTTAGGGTTTAAACAGAATCCCCTTAGAATCCCAAAGGTGAACCTTGAGTTTTTCTAGGTACTGGACAACAAAGGCAGTGCCGTACAGCCACAGCTGAGGGGCGTGCAGAAGATCCAGGCGACTTCGCAGGCCTTCGCAGCGATCCTTCGGGATGGATCCGTCGTCACATGGGGTGATCCTGCTTGTGGCGGTGACAGCAGCAGTGTCCAAGACCGGCTTCACGACGTGCAGCACATTCAGGCCTCCAACACTGCCTTCGCGGCGCTCCTGGGTGATGGCTCGGCTGTTTGCTGGGGCGACGCCCGGAAAGGTGGGGCTTCTGCGCATGACTTGAAGGACCTTCGTGCTCTCCAGGCGTGTGAGCAAGCCATGGCCGGAATTCTCCAGGATGGCTCTCTCATCGCTTGGGGGGAGCAGCGTTTCGGTGGCCACATTGGGGCCGTCGATCCGGCCTTGTACCATCGGCCGACACTTCCCACTGAAGAAGCCGCAGCCTAAAGCTGCAGAGCCCTAAGGGCCCATGTACCTTTTTACATACTTATGGGCCCCATCCCGACATTTCTGGGCCCTAGATAGGAAGTACGTTAAGGCCGAAGTATTCGTTATGTCGGTACATGGACCCTTTGGGACCGCCAAGTTATTCTAAGTCACGGCCCCTCTGTTCTATTCTTGGTAGCCCGACGGTACCGTTTACCTTTTGTTGTTGGTTCTGGGTTCTTTTCTAAAGTAACCAACCCCAAAAAGGGTGCCCTTATTATCATTTGGTTGCTGGGCTACCAAGTATTGCGGGGACGTGAGGAGCATATTGACATACGAAACCCTGAACCCCAAACCTTCAACCCCTTAACGCCCTAAACCCCAAACATCAATACCGAGCTCAGCGAGAGCACGCAGCGTAGCAGAACGGAAAGTGGCATTGCTTGGGGCAGCACCTCTACCGGACGGAGGGATCAGGGGTAAGGTTTCACAGTATACAAGGTATAGATTCAAAAGGCGGGTGTAAATCAGGTGATGAACTACAAGTAGCACCCTTATACCTACTACGGACAACGGGCTTAACTCTTAGCCCCTAAACCCTAAACTTTGAACTCTAAACCCTGACCCCTAAACCCTAAACCCTAAACCCTTCAGCCCCTGATTCCCTAAAACCCTTCCACCAGTCGAGGCCAAAGCTGCACCATCCGCTGCGGACGCCACTTGGACATGAGAGAGGGTCCCATGGATTGATTGTTTAAGGGTTGAGGGGTTTAGGGTTGAGGGGTTTAGGGTTTAGGGTTTAGGGTTTAGGGTTTAGGGTTCAGGGCCTATAGGGGTTTAGGGACTTATAGGGACTTAGGGACTTAAAGGTTTCGGGCTAAGCGTTGAGGAGGCTTAACTCAAAAGTCTTATAAGACGCCCATGTTCTAGGCTTGTTCTCGAGGCTTGACCCTGAACCCTCAACCTTCAACCCTAAACCCTAAACCGTAACCCTAAACCCTAAACCCTAAACCCTACGCCCGAGACTCGAAGTCCTACGCCCCAAGGCCTCAATGCTAGGGTTCAGTTGGTTTACACAGCCTGTACTGCGGACCATGACTTGAAGGCTTAAGCGTAGTATTAGGGTTTAGGGTTTAGGGTTTCGGGTTTCGGGTTTAGGGCTTAGGGTTTAGGGTCTAGGGTTCTACAACCTAACCTCTAGTAGCGTCATGGACCTCAATTCTCAACACTAGGGTGATGTCAGGGATTGCTGCGTATCAGTGCGCCGCCATCAGAAGTAGGCGCGTGGCCGTCACTACTTTCTTGTTGAGTAGAGGTTTTCACTAAGGTCACTAAGCCACTCTCGCCCTTAAGATGTGTATGTCCCTAAACCCGAAACCCTAAACCCTTAACCCTTAACCCTAAACCCTAAACCCTTAACCCTAAGCACTACCCATGAATCTTCAGGCACTTCCTGTCCGAAGCTGCACTACTTGGCAGAAACTTGAAGCTCAACCCCCCTCCGACCCCCCAGACGCACAGAGTTGGAGGGGTTCGGGTTCAGGGTTTAGGGTTCAGGGTTCAGGGTTTAGGGTTTAGGGTTTAGGGTTTAGGGTTTAGGGTTTAGGGTTTAGGGGACCATGTGACTGGCAGGTCGATACCCCGGATTCTTAGCGGCTATGCCAGGAGCGACAATGCCCGCAGGCGCCCGGAGAGTCGATGAAAAGCCGCTAAAAGTTTAGGGTTTAGGGTTTAGGGTTTAGGGTTTAGGGTTTAGGGTTTAGGGTTTAGGGTTTAGGGTTTAACCCTCAACTGGGTTTTGGAGTACTCTTCTTTATTACTCTTTTTGGTTCTGGGTTCCTAGTATAGCTACTAAAAACCCAACAAGTATCTACTTTGTTCCAGTGTCTACTCCAACGTAGGGTAAACCCTAAACCCCAGAACCCGATACCCTATAACCTCCAGCTCAACCCTAAGCCCTGAACCTCACAAGCGCCAGAGCTGCCCGGAAGTCAGTGCCCTTCTTGCTGGCCCAGTGGTACCCTTTTGCCCAATTTTAGGGTTTGGGGCTTAGGGCAGCCCCATGGTGCCCTTCTGCCTTTTTTTCGGTTCCAGGTTAGGGGGAGACCAGGCAAGCAGCCATATATAAGACAGTCGCCGTCAAAACCCTTTAAGTTCAACGGCCCAACCCCCCCTCCCCCCCCCCTCCCCCTCATAACAACCAAAACCGTAACCCCCAAACCCGACACCCTAAATCCTAAATCCTAAACCCTACAAACCCTAAACCCTAAACCCTAAACCCTGGGTTGTTGGGTCTCGGCTTTGGGTAGGGCGGTTTGCGGTCTTGACGACTTGTAGCCATGGCAACGAGGTACGTGTCAAGACTTATTAAAAAATGGCTCCGTGTAAGTTCCCAATTGCAGTACTTGCCCTTTAGGGAGTAGGGTTTAGGGTTTAGGGCTTAGGGCTTAGGGCTTAGGGTTTAGGGTTAGCTCCTAAACCCTAAACCCTAAACCAAGAACATGGCCATAATCTCTCGATGACCACATGGCTTTGGATCCCAATTCCGGAACCCATTTACCTGAGCCCAAAAGCCCAAATCCGAGGAAACCTATTAGGGTCAATTAGGGTTCAGGGTTTAGACCCTGAACCCTATACCCTAAACCCTAAACCCTACACCCCAAACCCTAAACCCTAAACCCTAAACTCCTCAACCCGGGTCCCTGAAGCCCTCCCCTGGTTCAGGCGGGCTGTAAAGTTAGGTGGCACCTTCGAGGCATGCCGTGTGCACTGGTCGGGTTCAGTGTTGAGGGTTTCTTATATCCTAAACCCTAGACCCTAAACCCTAAACCCTAAACCCTTTCTTTGGCTTAGACTGCTAAATCGCTTAGGGACAGGGTTTGGAGGTTCAGGGTTGGGGGGGGTTCAGTCAACATGCAAGTCTTGCGTGGACCTGAACCCCTGGGGCTTGGGGTTCGAGGTTCAGGCCTGCGAGTTACCCTAAAACCTAAACCCTAATCCCTAAACCCTAATCCCTAAACCCTAATCCCTAATCCCTAAACCCTAAACCCTGAGCCCTTGCGTAGGGTTTCTGCGTTTGGGCGGTTCTTTCGGGCCTCATGCAGGGTCTCAGATTTCAAGGGATCCTGGGCTCCTTTACGGCTGGGGCTTGAGGGCATGTTAGCCTGTTAAGCTGGGATGTTCCCCTTATACTAACAGTCCTTACTAGGGATTGCAGCACCCCCTGCTAGAATCCCCTACGAAGGACTGTCAGTATAAGGGGGGAACATCCCACATGTTCAGGGTTCAGGTTTAGGGCTTAGGATTTGGGTTTTTTCGGTTTAGGGTTTTAGGGGTTCAGGGGTTTAGGGGTTTAGGGGTTCAGGGGTTTAGGGGCTTAGGGTTTTGGGGGTTCAGGGGTTTGGGGGTTCAGGCGTTTAGGGTTTAGGCATTAGGGTTGTTGGTTTGGGGTTCAGGGCGGCTTAGGGCGACTAGCGCCCAGAGTAGGCCCGGCTTCCTTCATGTACTATATCCCCCTTGGGAATTGTTTTTCATTTTGTTTGTTTTAAACCCAAGAGGATAGTAAACATTTTTTTTTTTTAAAGGTTCTAAGGGGAGTATAGTGTATAGGGTAGTGTAGGGTTTGGGTTTTCTGGTTATCAGATTCTTGGAGCCAAAAGGGCACCCTTTGAAAATCCTAGGCTACTTGGGTCCAGGTTCAGGGGCTCAGGGTTCAGGGGCTCAGGGTTCAGGGTTCAGGGTTCAGGGTTCAGGGGCTCAGGGGCTCAGGGTTCAGGGTTCAGGGTTCAGGGTTCAGGGTCTAGGGTTTAGGGTTTAGGGTTTAGGGTGGGGCTCCTGTGGGCTAAGCATCTGGCGCTGCAGCTTAGTTGCTGCGACCCGACACCCTCAACTCGAAAAACCTCCGCGACGCTAAGCTGTTAAGTCCTCCTAAGCCTCGGCCGCAAATTTACTTTCATTCCTCTCTACTGGTTTAGGGTTTAGGGTTTAGGGTTTAGGGTTTAGGGCTCCAATCCCCTCATTGCTGCCGGACATGTACCAAGTCAAGGTCGAGGACGTCATCATGCTTGACAAACAAGAGCAGGCACAAGAGTTGGCGCCAGACCTGGAAGCCGTCATCGGACAAGGGCAGGAAGTCATTCAGAGAAACCTTAAACCCTAAACCCTAAACCCTAAACCCTAAACCAGCACGTACTTGACCCCGTAGCCATACTGGTGCATGCCTCGTTCCTCGGAACGGATCTGGTGAGGGTCCTTGAACTTGTTCAGGCCGTGTGCATAAAACGACTGCGTTCCAGGAAGGGATGGCCCGAACCCAAAATCAAACCCAAAACCCTAAACCCTAAACCCTAAACCCTAAACCCTAAACCCTAAACCCTAAACCCTAAACCCTAAACCCTAAACCCTAAACCCTAAACCCTAAACCCTAAACCCTAAACCCTAAACCCTAAACCCTAAACCCTAAACCCAACACAGCACCCCTTACTTGGCCGCTCGGCTCCATCAGCCCCCTGAAAGGGCACGTCGCTGGTGCCCATAGGCAGCAGCAGGGGCTCCAAGATTCAGAGAAGAGTTTAGGGTTTAGGGTTCAGGGTTCAGGGCTTAGGGCTTTGTGGTACTTTACTGTAACTTTCGATCCTTACCTTTTTTTGGTTTATTGGGTTTCTTATTAAGGCAGCTAAAAGTTTAATTTATAGCTACCCTCCTGAGTGCAGCCAAGAGGGCTTCGGGCTTAGGGCATAGAGGGTTGAGGGTTTAGGGTTTGGGGCTTAGGGTTTAGGGTTTAGGGCTTGCCTAAACCCTACCTGAACCCTCAAAAACTTCCGGGGCTTAGGGGCTAGGGCTTGCGAATCTGCAGTTAAACCTGTTGGGTCCAGTTTGGTTTCAAGTTTAGTGTTTAGGGCTTTGGGTACAGTACCCTGAACCCTAAGTTCGAGTCTACCGATCGCAAGCCGTGAAAATGCCATTGCAACATTGTACTCGGTTCAGGGTTTAGGGTTTACGGTTTAGGGTTTAGGGTTCAAGACGGAGTTGGAATGTTCCACCTGAAGGTGTATACCTTCTGGCTAGTTGTATCCTGTGTAGGAGAAGGGGGGCCCTGAAATGGGAGCCCTTCTTAGCCCTCTTCTGCTCTCTTAAACAGGGACCTTTTTCGGAGGGTCTATATTTTGAAGGGTCCCCCTAATACCTATTGCAAGAAGACTCTACAAACAACTACTTCAAGTAAAGTCCAGGCCCTGAGTGCACGGTGCATGTTGGCACCTGCACAACCCGGAAGCCTGAACCCTAAATCCTAAACTAAACCCTAAACCCTAAAACCTGAAGTTCTAAGCTCCTGAACATCCCAAAGACCTGATGCCTAGTCCCTATGCTGGCCAGTAGTACCTTTCACCTTTTTGACAAAGGGTTTAGGGTTTAGGGTTTAGGGCTTGGGGTGTAGGGCTTAGGGTTTAGGGTATAGGGTTTAGGGTTCAGTGCTTGGGGTGTAGGGTTGGGGGCTCAGGGATTGGGGTTTAGGGTTCGGGGTTTAGGGTTCTTAGGGTTAAGGGGGTGGGCCCTAAACCCTAAACCCTAACCCCTAACCCCTAACCCCCAAACACAAACCCTAAAGAGGAGAATGAGGCAGGCCACCTGGCTCAATTGCACAATGGTCGCATGCTGGTCCTCAAAGGCTACGAGGAAGTCGAGGGCAACAAGTTGAGGCGCCGGCACGATCCCGAAGGGCCCACGTACCCACATAGTACATATCTGGGCCCTTTAACGCTACTGTATAGGACCCCCTTTCAGGCCCAGGTATATACGGGGTAACTACGTGGACCCTTTGGGTATCCTGCATGGAAGAAGGCACCCAAGACCCACGACCGACCCCGGCTCAAGGATTTGCGCGGGATCGCCGGTGGCGAAGCCCACCTCTCCCTGAGGGTCCATGTACCTGTATAGTATATACTTGGGCCTTAGAGGGGGTTCCCATATAGTAGCTTTAGGGGCCAAAGTATATACGATGCAGGTACATGGACGCTTAGGGTCGTACATGCTCAGTGGCGAGAAAGGCATTGCTCTCCAAGGCGCTGCCGGCAGGCGAGGAGCGGGCTCGCGGACCGTAAGCCCTACAACAACCCCCCCTCCCTCCCCCCAAAAGGAAAAATACTCCAAATACCCAGAACCCTAAACCCTAAACCCTAAACCCTAAACCTCACATTCCTTCCTGTGTCCTCCTAGGTCGTCGCCCGAGCAAGGAGACCCAGGACTCGCTTTTGGAGGTTTTTGGGGTTTAGGATGCTCTGGGGTTTAAAGCTTAGGGTTTATAGGGTTTATCGGGTTTAGGGTTTAGGGTTTAGGGTTTAGGGTTTAGGCAGGAGGGTTTCGGGTTCAATATGTTCCTGGTTGCCAAGGGCACGAGCGCATGCGGCTTCAGGGTGCGGAGGGGCCTGACTTTGGAGTTTAAGCGGTTTTTGTTTAGGGTTTTTCAAGGTTCCGAGTGCTGGCCTGTCGGCCCTACCAAACCCTACTAGACCCTACTGGACCTTACTAAGCCCTAAACCTTAAACCCTAAACCCTACACTCTAAACCATACACCACTTACTGTATGGCCAGATCTCTGGTCTGCACGGCCCTGCACATTCAGGGTTTCTAAGAGAGTCCGGCTCCTCTTCAAGAAGTTTGACTGTGCTATTTCTGAGCATAAAGCTTTGTGGTACTTTACCGTACCTTTAGATCCTTACCTTTTTTGGGTTTATTGGGTTTCTTAATACGGCAGCTAAAAGTTTAATTTATAGCTACCCTCCTGAGTGCTGCCAAGAAAGCAAACCATTACTAAACGCCCGGGAGCTGACCACACAGACAGCAACTAGTAACCCTAAGGGTCCATGTACTTGTATAGTATATACTTGGGCCTTAAAGGGGTTCCCATATAGCAGCTTTAAGGCCCAAGTATATTCTATAATATGAGTACATGGACCCTTAGGGTAAGCAGGTCCTTGCAATAGGTTATTATTCCCAGGTTGGGTTTCGCGTTTGGAGTTTAGGGTTGAGGGGTTATAGACTTTAGGGTTTAGGGTTCATTCTCCGGGGTTTAAAGTTTGGGGTTTATGGGGTTTATGGGGTTTACAGGGTTTACAGGGTGTATAGGGTTTATAGGGTTTATAGGGTTTATAGGGTTTATAGGGTTTATAGGGTTTATAGGGTTTATAGGGTTTATAGGGTTTAGGGTTGAGGGTTTAGAGTTGAGGGTTTATAGGCTTTAGGGTTTATAGAATTTAGGGTTTATAGGGTTTAGGGTTGAGGGTTTAGGGTTGAGGGTTTATAAGGGCTTAGAGTGGCTTCAACGACCACCCTAGGAAAGGTGACCGACGGAGCGACTTATGGCTTTGGGGACTTAGGGGTCTCTTGGGCTCTTGGAGTGAAGTGCTGGGGTTTAGGGTTTAGGGTTTAGGGTTTAGGGTTTAGGGTTTAGGGTTTAGGGTTTAGGGTTTAGGGTTTAGGGTTTAGGGTCTCGGGTTTAGGCCTTCAAGGTGCGCTCATTCTTTTCCCACTTGAGGGTTGAGGGTTTAGGGCTTACGGTTGCGGCTTGAGCGTTTAGGGTTTAGGGTTTAGGGTTTAGGGTTTAGGGTTTAGGGTTTAGGGTTTAGGGTTTAGGGTTTAGGGTTCAGCGGTTTAGAAGAACGACTCAATCTACATCCCAATTGGCTGGGAGCTCAGCCTGTGTAGGGCCAGTGTAGGGTTCAGTTTTTTCAAGGGTCCATGGTATATACTTGGGCCTTAAAGGGGTTCCCATATGGTAGATCTGGGGCCCAAGTGTATACCATTTAGGTACATAGACCCGCAGGGACAAGCTCTGCTTGAGGGTTTGGGGTTGAGGGACTGGTTCTCTGAATGGCTCCGTTCTTCTTGACGCCTGGCCTCAAGCTCAGACTGACGAAGAATATGCCCCACAAACTAGACCCGAACCGTTGGGCTCCCCCAAAACCCTCACACCATGGTTTAGGGTTTAGGGTTTAGGGTGTAGGGTGTAGGGTTTAGGGTTTAGGGTTTGAGGCGAGTCATTAGGGTAGGTTTGGCTTCCAGTGTGCATGCAGCCACGGCAGCTTTGTGGCACGCCCGCTGCAGAGGCTCGGCAGATCACTTGCGCTAAGCTCCCTCCACCTCGCACAGCTCGCAGAGTACCCCCTAAATCAGGCGACCCATGTCCTGAAGCCCTAAACCCTAAACCCTAAACCCTAAACCCTAAACCCTAAACCCTAAACCCTAAACCTTAGCCCTGAGCCCTGATTCCGAGGCGCGGCTCTAAAAGCCCCTAATGCCCTACTCTGGCCTTGCCCCCCATGGCCTGGAGAGAAGGGCTTCTAGGGGTTTAGGGTTTAGGGTTTAGGGTTTAGGGTTTAGGGTTTAGGGTTTAGGGTTTAGGGTTTGGGGTATAGGGTTTAGGGTTTAGGGTTGTAGGGTTGTAGGGTTTACGGATGGGTTGTAGGGTTTATAGGGGTTATAGGGGTTTATGGGGGCTTTTGGGTCTTATAGGAGGTTATAGGGTTGAATGGGGTTGGAGGGGTTTACTGGTTTTATAGGGCTTAGGGTTTCGGGGTTTAGAGGGTTATAGGGTGTATAGGGGTGCAAGGTTTTTTTAGGGGTTTAGGGATATATGTTGATAGGGTTATAGGGTTTATAGGGGTTTATAGGGGTGTAGGGGTTTCGGATTTAGGATTGTAGGGTATTGGGTTTTGGGTTTTAGGGTTGATACGGTAGGGTTCATAGGGGTTCAGGGTTATAGGGTTTACAGGAGGTTTACAGGGTTTGTTATAGGTTTTTTGGGGGGTTTATGGCGGGTTTTCTAGGGGGCTAAACGGGGTTTATAGGGGTTGTAGGTGTTTAGGGTTGTAGGGTTTTTTGGTGGGTTTTCAGGGGTTCTTAGGGGTTTATAAGGGGGCTTATCGGGGTTCATAGGCGTTTAGAGTTTAAGGTTGTAGGGTTATAGGGGCTGTATGAGGTTTAGGGTTAGGGTTTAGGCTTATAGGGGTTGTGCTGGGTTATAGGGGTTTATAGAGCTTGCAGGGGATTATAGGGGATTATTGGTAACCTGGTAGGTCATCTGAAAAAATCTTGTGTTGCCCTAAGTCCATGTACCCATATCGTATATACTTTGGCCCTAAAGCTACTATATGGGAACCCTTTACGGCCCAAGTATATACTACTAGGACCGGGAGCAGGCCCTGTTTTCCTTTTTTTTGGGGTTGGGGCTCCCTTAGAGGTGCATAGTCCCTTGGGGTTGACCGCTGAGGATCTGCGCGGCTCGCCCACGGCCCGGCCTAGACAACTGCTACAGAGGCGCTCACGAACTCCAAGCCTCCAACAGCTACCAGCATGGGCCATCTAGGCCTTAGAATCCCCTAACCAAGGGTGTAAAGGGCCGTTTGAAGGGGTGATAGGGCATAATAGCCCATGCTGGTATGGCCGTACCCTAAAGAGTTCTCTTAGCGTGTGTATGGTGATCTCTGTAAATTGCGGTCCCTTTTTGGGGTCCTTATCATAAGGTGGCCCCTACTATGTAGGGTACCACACAAGGGCATATTTAAGAGAACTGACCATATATACATACATATATATATATATATCCACACATATACCCTAATATGGGAGTTTACAAAATAAGGGACCCCTACAATAGCCCCCCAAATAGTAGGATTCCCCTGTTGTAAGGACCCCACTAAGGCCCCCTAATTTCGGAAACCCCCATATGACCCCTATGTTCCCCCTAAGGGGTTCTTCAAAGGGCCCCCCCCAAACCCGGGACGCACTCCCAAACAAACTCCTTAACCTAGGTTAGGGTTTAGGTTAGGGTTTAGGGTGTTGAGCCCTAAACCCTATTAGCCCTACGAAGTTCAGGTGTTTTAAGCCAACCCGGCGAAAAACAGCAGAACTGGCTGTGGCTCGTTTAGGCGGTTTTGAGGTTTGCGGGTTCGTTGCCGAGAAAAACAACTCGATTTGGCAGGGGTGAATTGCCTCATTCACTCACTTGCGCCGAGAAAAAAGGATCTTATGTTCCTGGCTATTCGAGAGATAAACCCTAAACCCGAATCCCTAACGTTTTGGATTCTAGTCCCGGTTCCGGTAATGTTGCCTCCTTCTTTATTCAGATACTCATCTCCACTCTCACTCCGCAATGTCAGATGAGACCAGACCATACTCTGGAACAAATGGAGTTTAGGGTTTAGGGTTTAATTATGGTTTAGGGTTTGCCTACTCAGGGACACACCACTAGAGTCACGAGAGTTCGGTTTCAATCTGCCGCTCTCCGAGTCGCGGGCGTAAGATGGAGTGTCCACGCAGGAAGCTACCCTAAACCCGAAACCACAAACTCTAGGCCCAAAAACCTAAAAACCCCAAAGCCCTAAACCCTGCACCCCAAACCAAGCCCTAAAACCTAAACCCTAAACCCTAAACCCCAAACCCTAAACCCTAAACCCTAAACCCTAAACCCTTCCTCCTTTCCTCCTTCCCTCCCTGGCTTGGCCTTCTGAGCCGATCCTGCTCAGCCGAAGCAGGGGCTTGGGCTTCACGAGTTGTATATGGGTGACCCCCTACTTCATGGTGGCTTTTGGGGGGTTCCTGCCCTAGACCCTGGTCCCCAAACTCTAAACCCTAAACCCTTGTCATTTCAATGTCTTCTGTGAAGCCCTATAGAAAGCTCCAGCAGGACTTTGGAAGCTCCTCTGGCCAAGAACTACGCTGGCGGTGCCGCGGCTGCCATCGCGACCGTTGCCTTTGCAACTGTCGGGAGAAGCTCGCCTCCGAAACCCTAAACCCTAAACCCTAAACCCTAAACCCTATAGACCTTCTGCCGGGTGCAGGGAGGGGCCAGTAGTCTTCCGTAAGCAGAAGTGCCACTTAAAGGACACGAAGGAAGCTCCGGGGGCTCAAAGCCTGGAGTGAAAGCTTTGGCTTAGGGTTTAGGGTTTAGGGTTTAGGGTTTAGGGTTTCGGGTTTAGGGTTTAGGCTTAGGGCTTAGGGCTTAGGGCTTCGGGCTTCGGGCTTCGGGCTTAGGGCTTCGGGCTTAGGGCTTAGGGCTTAGGGGGCTTCGGGCTTCGGGCTTAGGGGGCTTAGGGCTTTGGGCTTTTGGGCTTAGGGCTTAGGGCTTAGGGCTTTTGGGCTTAGGGCTTAGGGCTTATTAGGGGGCTTAGGGCTTAGGGCTTAGGGCTTTTGGGCTTAGGGCTTCGGGCTTAGGGCTTCGGGCTTAGGGCTTTTGGGCTTAGGGGGCTTAGGGCTTAGGGGGCTTAGGGCTTCGGGCTTAGGGCTTCGGGCTTAGGGGGCTTAGGGGGCTTAGGGCTTAGGGCTTGGGGCTTAGGGCTTAGGGCTTAGGGGGCTTAGGGCTTAGGGCTTGGGTTTAGGGTTTCGTGTTTACTTTGGAGTTGGGATCTCTGAAGTGTGTGTATATTGGTACAGCGCCGGCACCTCTTCGTTGTATCTTGGCCCGCACCTTCAACCCAAAACAGTGAACCGGTTTAGGGTTTGTAGGGTCTAAATAGGGTTCATACACGGTTTAGGGCTTTTGGTTTTGGGGCCCTTGTTTAGGAAGATGATAACAAGAACATGACTTGAAACCACAGCCGCATTTTATGATGTATGGATGGTGAGAGGTTATGCGCCAGGAGTTTGAATCTCAAGTTGCGATTTTCGTGAATAAACTCAGGGGAAGATACGGGGATTACCGAAAATAGGGGTACCCCTTATATACCCCAAAATACTATATAACCCTTTTTAAAGGACCCCTCAACAGGGCACCCCGCCCCCCCCCCCCCCCCCCCCCACCCCCCCCCCCCCCCCACCCCCCCCCCCCCCCACCCCCCCTTTTTGCAGAAACTCTCATATAAGTAGGCTTGCACCTACGTCTGTCTGGGTCTGAGCAAGGCATGTTTCCTTACTAAAAAAAAATGTATGTATGTCTATATATATATATATATACACCTATTTATCTAGATGTATATATCTGTATGTATGTACAAGCTTCTCTAAACCACCCTAAATCCTACGTCATGGCCTTTCTCTGCAGGCAAGTGCCGCCGCAAGCACCGCAAAATCCGCTCGCGCTCACGGCGCTTGCCGCGGAGGCGCGAAGCCTTCGGGTGAGCGCTAAAGGTTTATGTACATGTAGGGGCCCCCCTAGTTATAAATAGGGTTATAAGGGCCCGGGCCCCCTAGTTATAAATAGGGTTATAAGGGGCCTAAATTGGGTTACAAGTCTTACTATTTAGGTGATAATTCCCTTATGAATCGAAGTCAGTATAACAATTAAGTGGGGCCCCTACGTGTAGGGCTCAGGGATTGAGGGTTGAGGCGCGTGTGAGGGCAAAGCGGGGGGGGGGGGGGTGCAGTGGTGCAGAGTCTGCGGTCTGGAGGCTGCTGTCGATTACGAGCATCGCATAGACAGCTGCCGTAAAGTTTCCCCTGGTCATCTACGAATTGCTTAAGAACCCCGAAGAATCAAAAACACTGTTCCTTGTTAAGGGTAATATGGGGATTGTGATTTTTCTTTTGGGGTTCTTAAGCAAATAGTAGTCATGTGCATGGTTTGACTTCCTCAAGCCACACAGACCGATAGAGGCTTCATTCAGCTCCGAATGGGCTGTTCCCCAACACGTGTCTCACCTTGCCCACACGCAAACATGGACGGAGCAGTGGTGGATTTCGGAGAATTGGTCTCCCGAGGTGACCTCGAAATGGAGGTGCCCCACGAAAGGGTGCAGGAGCCGCTTGGCATCGGCGGCAGTGCTGTCAACGACCAACCCGATTCCGGAGACCAAAGCAGCAGCGAGGACAGCCTTAACCCGGATTCTGATGCCGACGGGACCGAGGCTTCACACATGCACAGCAACCGAATGGAGTTGACCTCCGTGTCCGAGCAGGTCATACGCAGATGCGCCGACGCAATGTCTCGAATGGAGCCCACGCGACCAGACATCGTCCGAGCCACGCGGGCTTTCCAAGCGCTGAAGAGGTTGGGTGCTCCCCTCCGGGGTGTTGAAGTTAAAGGTGGCTTTTTCTCCCTGAGCAAGCCGGCAAGCAGCATGCAGTTCTGGTCGCACAGCTGGCACGGCTCGAAATGGGCAAAGATCACCACCCTCTTTGTTCTTCAGAATGCTGCGGCTGCTGCTCTCATTGGCACGATGCCAGCATTCTGCGCGACTCTGTTCTTAGGCCTGTCACAAGCCTCGCAGCTTGAAGCGCTGATTTCCACTTTAGCCGCATTTGCCGTGCCCTCCTGCTTTGTGGTCGGTTTGGTCACACAGGGGCTAGTTTTGGCTTTCTGGCGGCGGCATGAGCTTGTGTTCCTGGACCGGCTCTGCACCTAGGTCTCCCTAGTAGGCCCTTCCTCCTTATTTGATTTCCAAGGCGGTTTCCTTACAGTTTGGGGTTATAAGGGTTTCTAGGGTTTCTAGGGTTTATTGGGTTTGGGGTTTAGCTCTGAGGGGTTGCGAAAGCTACTGGAAATTTCAGGTATCAGCGACGATCCTGCCCCGAAGCTCGAGGGCCTCTTCAGCATGGGGGCGATACTGAAGAGCTCGAACTCCATGTTGGTCCTCTGGGACACGACCTACCAATCGCGCTGCTTTTCTAAGCGCGGTTTTTTGGGGGGTTAAGGGCCCCGGGGTTTAGGTCCGGGGGGTTCAGGGTTTTCGGGGTTAGGGTGATATAGGGCTTATACCCTAACCCCTAAACCCTAAACTCTCAACCCTAAACCCTAAACCCTATAGGGTTTACCAAACGCGCTTCTAGACCGGTACCCACAAAAACTCGGCTGGCCCTTGGGATAGATTTTTTTCCGTCTGTCCTGGGGATGTTTGAATATTGAGGGTTTAGGTTTTTGGGATATCGGTTAAGTGCCTATGTAAAATAACTAAGGGTTGTTGTGGTGTTTTTGGTGAGCGTATGTAGAGTTCATTCTACATAGTTATGGGTGCATCTACTGAAATCCACTGGGTGTCCTCCTTTGGGGATACCAAAAAATCAAGATCCTACGTCGTGTACTCTCGTAAGTACGGGCACTTCTACATACATGAGCCGCTGAGGCCTGTGGTGCGTCTTCGAGGTTGCAGCCTTCTTGCGCAGCCGCCCCCAGAACCAGAAGCCGCACTTCATCATACGCCCGACAATCCTAGGGCCCGTGATGGCCGCTGCAGGCTTTGCATTGACCCTTGCCTGTGGAGGCGCGTATCTCGCTGTCTCTCTCGCTGCCACTACCATTGAGAACCTCTCACAAGGGCTTTGGTGGTGGCCATTTTGGCTCATCATCGGAGCCATTGCGGGCATGATCTTCTTGAAGATCGCCGACGTGGTGCGAGCCTACTGTAGGGAAGTCGAGAACTTGTCGGATCAGCTGCAGGACTTTCGGTTTGACGACGCTGTTGCCTATTGCTGCTCTGTTGGCCACATTGATCCGGACACTGGCAGCCCAATCGTTTGTGACCGTGAAATTGTGCGTCAGTGCATTGTCAACTGGTTTGGATCTGTCGGCGAGTTCGAGGCCACTGTTCGGACGGAGGTGCTGGACATATTGTACACCCATCTCTCAGCTGCGATGCTCTCTTACCGCCGAGTAGTGGAAGCCTCGCCGGTCGTTGTCTGGGTGTTTTTCGATTTTGCCCAGGTACCCATGCGCAAGAGCATCGACCTGGGCATGTGGGCGCTCATCCGAGGTTTCACCTACTGGCTGTCAGTGATCCCGACATTGTTTGTGGTCATGTACAGGTTGGCCCACCTCACGCGCCGGAAGCGAAGCTCTCGATGTTTGGACAAGCTGGTGTCTGTCCTGCTGGTGTGCGTCGGCATCGGCTTCTTCATGGCGGTCACGACTCTGGAAGCTAGGTAGGCCCTTGGCACATTTTTGTATTTTCCCTCAATGGGGTTAAGAGGATCATATTCCTAAACCCGAAACCCTAAACCCGAAACCCTAAACCCTAAACCCTAAACCGGGCTTTGAGGGCCCTCCTAGGAAGGCATCCTTGTGATCTTGCTCAATGCCTGGGTGCCAGTCTCAGCTTTCGGGACGATGTTCTTTCTGATCAACATGGGCTTAACAGCTCTTGCGTTTCGCAGGGTTTAGGGTTTAGGGTTTAGGGTTTAGGGATTAGGGTTTAGGGTTTAGGGTTTAGGGTTTAGGGTTTAGGGTTTAGGGTTTAGGGTTTAGGGTCGTGCGTTTCACAGGCTGAAGGCCTCCTAGGATGAATATCCCCGCCTCTGGGGTGGCAAGGGCTGAAGCCTACATGAGGCCCTTGTCTTCAAACAAGAACGGTTTAGGGTTTAGGGTTTAGGGTTTAGGGTTTAGGGTTTAGGGTTTAGGGTTTAGGGTTTAGGGTTTAGGGTTTAGGGTTTAGGGTCGTGCGTTTCACAGCCTGAAGGCCTCCTAGGATGAATATCCCCGCCTCTGGGGTGGCAAGGGCTGAAGCCTACATGAGGCCCTTGTCTTCAAACAAGAACGGTTTAGGGTTTAGGGTTTTGGGTTTAGGGTTTAGGGTTTAGGGTTTAGGGTTTAGGGTTTAGGGGTTTAGGGTTTAGGGTGTAGTTAGGGTTTGAGGGTCTAGAGTTCCAGACCCGAACCCCCTATAAACCCTGAACCCTAAACCCTAAACCCAAGGACCTATAACCTACCACCTACAACTCTGAAAAGCCCATGTCGGCCCTGCAAAATTCTGCCACCACACCCGGGGTTTGCTTTCCATGGCAGCTTATTTGTGGAAAAAGCTGAGGGAAACTGAAAACCTAAACCCCCAAACCCCAAGCCCCAAGCCCCAAACCCAGGGTTTACAGGCTTCGGCGTGGTGGGGTGTCAGGACGGAAGGCTTTTACGTGGTCTACGAAGAACATGCGTGGTCTACGAAGAACGGAAGGGCAGTCCCGAACCTTCAGCCCCGCGGACTCTGCACCTTGAACACTCTGCCTACCTGCCCCCCCCTCTCCCCGCCCCCCCCGTGCCCCGCCTCCTTCAGGGGCCTTCGGAGGGACCCCTAGAATGGACCCTTAATCTTATTTCCCTTATATAATCCTTAAAAAAATACTTATAGTCCCTATATACCTAAGTAGCCCCTAAAGAAGCCCCAAAGAACCCCGAAGGTCCCTTAGAAGGGTCTCTCCTCTAGTTCCTAAACCCTAAACCCTAAACCCCAAACCCTAAACCCTAAACCCTAAACCCTAAACCCCAAACACTAAACCCTAAACCCTAAACCCTGAACCCTAAACCCTAAACCCTAAACCTCCTCCCCCATGCAGTTGCAGTTCCCTTTTTGGTGTTTGGGCTTACGGCGAGCGCAATATATGATGTGCCGATAGAAAAAAGAAACAGGACCAGGACCTGCAAGAGTTAGGGGGGCCTGGTGGACACTCAATGCACCTAAGCCTGCAGGACCTTAAGCCCCACCCACAGGTTGGGTTTCGTTTTAGGGTCCAGGGTTTTGAATTTAGACCTTTGTTCAAGGATGCATCCGGATGTAGGGCTTGTCTTACGATGTTTCGGAAATCCTCGATTCTGCCACATCTGAACCATCAACTGCTGACCCCGGAAGACAGCGCTGCAGCGTCTGAACATCAGATCTGCGGGCCTCAAATCCCTGGGCTTTTGAGTACTATACTTTAATACTTTTTTTGGTTTTGGGTTCCCATTATAGCTACTTATACCTAAAAAGTATATACATTTTTTCTGGGTCTACTCCAGAGGTAGGAATCCTGAGCCCTAAACTCTACATTCAGAGGGCCATGGCCAACAGGTGATCGCCCCCACCCCTCTGCAAAACGAAATCTTAGGGTTTTGGGTTTAGGGTATGTAGTTTAGGGTTTAGGGTTTAGGGTTTAGGGTTTAGGGTTTAGGGATCTAAGGTACACAGGGTTTAGGGTTTACGGTTGAGGGTTTAGCCCCAAAAGCCACCATTTTGTCGGGTTGCTGGCTATATTGTTTCCCTCTTGCATTCTCCGGGATATCTTTTTGAGGGGAGGTAGAAAAGAAAGCTCAAGATACACTCGCCCTACACGACGTAGCTGCGAGCTCACGAACACATCAGAAACCCTAAGCCCTAAACCCCAAACCCCAAAGCCTCTGAAGTTAGTGCCTCGGGGAGCT